CCCACAAAAAAACAAAACCCCCCCAAAAAGCTTGGAAAATTTTAAAAGACTTGGAAAAAAAAAAAAAAAAAAAAAAAAACAGAAAACTGTCACTGGCTCGCCTAAGGTAAAGAGTGTCCTTTCAGCTTTACCAGAACAGAAATACCAACTCAAGGTCTACTGAAACAACAGAATGAAACGATTCAAAAGGCACCATCTGTAGGTTTAGCTGCTCGATACTTGAATCTATCACACTCATGAGCATAGTATCAATATCCTCAAATAATTTTCAGTATGATGACAATACATTAGGTCAGAGTGAGGGTTGTGGTTGTAGCATGAAAAGATGGCCTGAAGTTTAAAAAGCATGAATGTAATTTCAAGGTACTGAATTTGGTTTGACTCAGGGTGAATGACGACAAACTCACAGAGATAAACTCACTTCTTAAGACTATGTTCAGTTCTTGAAGTGTGTGTTGTTGTAAAGTCTGTGTTAAAAGAAATACGATCCCGTAAGCTTGGGAAACATTTCACCAGCAGCTTTTTAAAATGGTTCTGGAATTTCTTTCCTACAAATGTATAAAACATTGGACTGATGCAGAAGTAAATGTACGCCATGTTGCGGGTGACATGAAGAGCGTAACCGAGTTTCTTTTTAGCTTCACAGCTCAAAAGAGACTCTAATTCATAATGCAGGAGTTCTACAATGTTAAAAGGGATCCAGCAGATGAAGAACAACACTACGATCATAAATATCATCCTGACTGCATGGAATTTAGAAGCTGATCGGGACTTTTTGATGGTGACCACAATCCTAGCATAACAAAATATGATAATAGCCAGAGGGAGGATCAAGAAGACAAAAAGCTGAATATAAAACCCAGATCTTTTGAGCATTTCTACATTCAAACCATCAATGTAAGCAAATTCCTCACAGAACATAGTGCCGAAATGTTTATAGGTGCCATGGAGGATCATGGGCCTAATGCAAGCCAAACCACTGATCACCCACACCACTGCACAAGATATGATAGCATTGCGTCGGCTCCTTACATGTACTACTGGCATAAAATGTACAAAAGCAAGGTAACGGTCAAATGTTAGCAGAGTTATAAAGAAAACAGAACTGTAAAAACCCAGGTAGTAGGCACTGAAGACGATCTTGCACATAGCTGAGCCAAAAATCCAGTCAGACATCTGCATGTAGGCGGCCACAATGGGAAGGCTGCTCATTAAGATCAGGGAGGACGCCACCAGGTTGACCAGCAAGATGTTGACCACAGTGTACAGCTTCTCAAACCTGGAGGGAAGATGGTAAGATGTTATTTTGGTGTAAGCATAAATTCTCCAACAGTCAGAGCACAAATTATTATCAGTGGCTTTAATTTTATGCAAGTCTGTGAAAGGTTTGTCAAATAAGACTTGTGAGAGTGTTAGCCAGAAATTTCATTTATTTTTTACTTTTAAGATTAAACCAGCATATAAAAAGTTATGTATGTTGATTAAATCGTCTTTTTCAACTAACCCTGTCTGAGCCCAGACAATAGTAGAAGTTTGTGTCAAAGTAGATTTAAGCAATATTGTGGGGGGCCAATTTTAAAATAACAGTTAATTCACTGGAGCAGCTGGATGGCTCTTTTGGACCCTGGAGTCAACTTAGGGCAGTAGCCTCTCCAACAAGCTTCTCCAGCATGCTGGACATGGCAGGGGTTTTCCAAGTCTCAGCTTCGGCCCGACAGATCTTAAGAATGCCACTTTGAAGGTTTTAAAAGTCCTTCATCATTCCAACAGAATGAGCAGAGATGGTTCATGAACCTGTCTCCGTCAAAGACTAAAGACTAGTCTTATCTGTAAGCTCAGTCATACTGAGCTTTCGTATTGACGCTACCAGTGATAGCCTCTAGCGCAAAGCATGCTGGGACATGCGGCCCAATCATTTCCTTTCTATAAATGGAGGCCCAACATGGGTTTTCTCAGCATTGCAAACTTTAACAATAGTCATTATCTAGCCTGGACTGATCATATGCCTCCTAGCATGCTAACAGTTCTTTCTTAGCAGTCTTTTAGCTTCCACACTATGAGCTTACAAAGATTTATAAAAAAAAAAAAAAAAACTGGGAGAGGCAAGGGTAGAGCTAACCTGCTCCTTACAACTGGAGAAAACTGAGCTGCTTCTACAACTTTCTCTACTATTACATTACTTTAAATAATAGGAATGGTATAATAGAAAACTTTAGTTCACCAACATTTCCTTTGTAAAACCATGGTATACACAGGACCT